TCCCCGCTGCATCCCATCCCAAGATGGCACTTCCTGCCTAAGAGCAGCTCAGTGGCCTCAGGGTGGGCTCAGCCTTCCCCAACCCAGGCTGAGACAGATGGCATGGGGGGAGGGACAACCCTTCAGCTAACGAACAAATATTTATTGAGCCCTACTAGAGGCCAGGTCCTATGCTAAGTGTTAGGAACACAGAAGTGAACAAGACAGATGCTGCCCTTCCCTTAGGGGGCTGGTGTCGGAAAAAGAGAAATTAATTATGCGGCTAATGATCTGTAAACAAACGCTTAACCTTACCAGAGGCGTCAGGCGACCCCTAACGTCACAAACGTGATTAAGTTTTTCACCTAAAGACTGTTTATTAAATTGGGCTCTCGTGCTCGGGCATCCATATTAAAGCATCACGTCACCCTGGGAGCTGCGGAGGAGCCAAGCAGACTCGGCTGGAAAGGGGGACAGATGGCTTTATCCCTTATACTTGACCTTTCGAAAGCAGAGGGCAGAGGAGAGAGATTCAAACACAGAGTGTTTGGATGATGTCAAGCACAGGCCACTGCAGCTAAGCTCAGCGAAGCACCCCCCTCGGCGGGGAGCTGGGCTGGAGCAAGGGACCTGCCAGCTTCTGTCACTCTGGACTCCAGTACCCGTAACCACGCACACCAACTCGCGTACAAGAGTTTGAAATGTAGCCCGGTGGTCAGGCGTTCAAAGTCCGGAACAAGACAGCGTGGTTGGAGTCCAGGTTCCGCCAATTACGTGCTGTGTGATCTTGGGACCGGTTAATTAACCTCTCTGTGCCCCCCAGTTTCTCCATTTGCAAATGCTAACAACACCTCTTTCCTGGGCTTGGATTGAGGATGAGCTAAGCAAACCAGCGTCAAGCCCTTGGTACCAAGGCTAGCATGACAAACCCTCAACAAATGTTGGAAATACTTGTTTGAACCTGAGGTCTAGAGCAGTGCTGTGCAAAGTGGGGTCCGTGCATTGAGTTCCTGTCCGCGAATTTGCGTGTGAGAAGGTACGTAGATGCTAAAGCCAAACCGAACAGGTTTTTTTCTCCCACGGATGGTGTGAGAAGCTCTGGGGTAGACCGCACTTCTCCCACAAGAGCTGCTGGGGCAGGTGGTTCTTCAATGGCTCCCAGGGCCCCTCACCTCCTGGCGTGCACCCCTTTGTGTAATTCTCTTCCCCTGAGTGTGGGCTGGACCTCGTGACTTGCTCCCGATGAAAAGAATACGCGATGAGCTGTCACTTGTGCGATTAGATTACAAAAGAATTAGATTTCATCTTGTCCGCTCCCTCTGGCAAGCAGCCTGTGATGTTGAGGGTGCCCTACGGGGGGACCCGTGTGACAAGGGAGGGAGGGCAGCCCATGGGGAACCGAATCCTGCCCATAACTTGGCAGTAAATCCTTCCCCAGTCACGCCTCAAGATGACCACAGCCCTGGACAGCACGACCCTGAGCCGGAGGACCCAGCTATGCTAAGACCAGATTCCTGACCCCCAGAAACAGAGAGCTCGTGTTATTTTAAGCCACCAATTTTGGGGAGAATTTGTTACGCGGCACTATATAACTAATACATCTGTTCAGGAGAATTAAAGTATGAAAAACATAGAAACTACCACGCATGCACCGGAATGGCTAAAACTAAAAAGAATGACAACATTGGGGCAGCTGGGTGGCTCAGACGGGTAAGCGACTGCCTCTTGATGTTGGCTCAGGTCATGAAGTCGTGGTTTGCAAGATCGAGCCCCGAGTCGGGCTCTGCGCTGATAGCGTGAAGCCTGCTTGGAATTCTCTCTCTCCCTCTCTCTCTCTCTGCCCCTCCCCCACTCGCTCACGCACACCCTCCCTTTCTCTCTCTCTCTCTCTGTCAAAATAAACAAACATTTTATTTTTTTATTTTTTTTTTCAACGTTTATTTATTTTTGGGACAGAGAGAGACAGAGCACGAACGGGGGAGGGGCAGAGAGAGAGAGGGAGACACAGGATCGGAAACAGGCTCCAGGCTCCGAGCCGTCAGCCCAGAGCCCGACGCGGGGCTCGAACTCCCGGACCGCGAGATCGTGACCTGAGCTGAAGCCGGCCGCTTAACCGACTGCGCCACCCAGGCACCCCTAGACACACATTTTTAAAATAAAGAACGACAACCGTAAGTGTCGGCAAGGACGGGAAACAATGGGGAGGTTCATACGTTGCTTGGAAGGGAAAATAGTAAACCACTTTGGACAAGTGGTACTTTCTTACAAGTTAAACTTCTGTCTACCCTATGGCCCAGCAGTTGCACTCCTGGGCATCCAGCCAAGGAAAATGAAAATACGCGTTTACACAAAGACTCACCCATGAATACTGATGGTAACTTTACTCATAGTAGCTCCCCACTGGGAGCCACCCAGGTGTCCATCAACAGGAAAATGAATAAATAAATGGTGGCTTCTTTTCATGACGGAATACTCCTCAAAAGTGAAAAGAAATGAATGACGGGTACACCGACAGCACAGAAAAAAATCACAAAAACGTGCTGAGCAAGAGAAGGCACGATGCAGAAGAACATATCCTGCAGCATTCAACGGATATCTTAACTCAGGGGACATCTGCAAGGTCGGGAGACATTTTGCTGGCGGGCGGAGGCTGTTCCTTGGGTAGAGGCCGGGGATGCCGCTAACCATCCTCCAGTGCACAGGCCAGCTCCCTGCAACAAAGAATTATCCAACCCAGAATGGCAGCGGTGCAGAGGTTGAGAAACATCGATTTGCATGTGGTTTTTAGAACATGGAAAATGCATCGCTGGGGATGGAAATCAAAACAGTGGTTGCCTCTGGGGGAACGGCATGGTCAGAGGCATGTCAGAGGGTGCGGTTACAGACTATGGTATAAATATTTGTCAAAATTAATTAAGCTATACGCTTAGAATATGTGCATTTCACTGCATGCAAACTGTACCCCACTAATAATTTAGATAGAAAGACCGAGATGGATATAGATACACACACACACACACACACACACACACACACACACACACGCTCTCCCCTAGTAGACATTAGGGTCCCTAATGTCTGGACAACGGGCAGTAAGTCCATTAGGTCAAGCTAGAAGTTAATGGGCAGCAATAGTCTTTTTGTCTCCAGGAAAGGACTACTCCTAGAGGCTGAGTCGGTGAGTGGGAATGGCCCTCTGTCTGGGCTTTCCTTCCAATCATATAGAGAACTCTCCCAGAGAGAATTTGGGGTGCAGCCACAGAGGCTCTTCACCAACCCAAAGGCTTGATCCCCACAGCCCATTCCCTGCAGAGGGCATCCTTGCACACACCCACAACTGGTTGAA